TTCACTTAAAAGTCTTCAGTAATTCCCTTCTTAACTACAGAATGAAGTTTAAAGCTATATCTTCCCATCTTCCTTCCGTGGTCCTTCATCATCAGGTGCTGCCTTTCTCCAGTCTTATCTCCTGCTCCTCTCAGCTCTCACCCAACTCTTTGCTGTGTCCGACACTCTTCCACATTTCTACATGATGGTGCACTGCATTTCTATCTGGAATGCCCCTCTCGATGCTATCTATGTTCCTCCAACTCTGATGCTGCATCCCTTTTTTCTATTCTCTTTGTCACCTCTTCTGTACCTGGTGACCTACAATTTTAGAGGGAAAAGCATCATCTTGTCTAACTTTGTGTTACAAATGAGAGAATGGAGCTCCAGAGACCTTCATTGGCCACCTCTGCTAAGAAGCCTGGAACATAGAGGAGCTGGGTTGCTCGACAACCAGTCCCAGGATGTTTCCTGTATCAGGTGGCCCAGCCCCTTCTTCTCGCAAACTTGGGAAGCCACGCCCCATAGCCTTCTATGCACTTCAATTCAGCATCAACTTATTGATGTCCTGGACATTTTACAATATTAACTTGGGTATGAAGATTCTTTACTTTGTCTGCCTGCTTCTTAAATTCTTCAGTGATTTTATTTTCCAATCTCAAGTATTAATTTCTTAAAGAAAATAAGCATAAATTATTTATCTCAAACACACAAAGACTGTTAATAAGTTATATTAGAAAATCTTTAAAAATCAGTAGAAAATAGAAAAATAATAAATACAAATAGGCAATATGCTTATGAAAAACTGTTCAATTAGTAATCAAAGAGAGGGAAGATACAACTAAATAGAATACTTTCTTTTCATAAAAAATAATTTTTATTAAATTATTAAGATTGTCAAGGTTATGAGGAAATAGGCACTTGGATATCCTTTTAGGAGTTATACAGCTTGGACAAATATATTTGGAGGACATTTGGAACCTGTCTGAAACCTTAAAACCATGACTGCCATGCTTTTGACCCATTCTCTTTATCCATAAAACCTACACTTAATTATTTATCCAATGCAATGTAGACAGTTTTTATAAACATTTTTATCAGGATATTTTTAATAGGGAAAAAATTAGAAACTAGTTCCAATGCAAAAAGAGAAATATAAGTTAAATAAGCTATTGCATGGCCATTCAATTTATGTAAATAAGCTATTGCATGGCCACTGAAATTACATTTCTTAAGTTTATATATTTACATGAATTTACATGATATTGTTGACTGACAAAAAGTAAGATTAAAATGTATGTACTCTATGATTGCAATTTTTGTAAAAAATATGTATACATATCACCTATGGATAAAAATATCATTTTCCCTGCATTTCTAGTACTTAGAGATATACCTGGCCTATGGGTAATATTTAAATAAGATTAAATGAATAAATAAAAAATAGCTGGATATGTATATGTCAAAATGATCATAGCGACTTTATTTTTAAACTTTTTTGTTTATATTTGTTTTTATACAACAAACCCATATAAACTTTATCATAAAAACATTGTTAAATGAAAATATACCTGCTCAATTCATATTATTTCCTAGCAAAGCAATAATCACCATTTAACTCACTTAGTCTAAGGTGCTTCCAAAAATGCCCAAATGAAGATGCCCAGATTTCATTTGCTGTTTCCTTAGTGCTACTGCTTAATTCTATCACACCAGGCCTCCACTGACAGCCACGCATGGATTATTGGTCTACAGTTTTTTAGTGGCTCAGGCTCTATGTTCAGAATTTCCTGAATGCCTAAAGAATAGCTGCCCACCCATGCACCCATCTTGCTCAGCTTGGCAAGGCTCTCTCATCACATTCTCTATTTTCTAGGAACATGTTCTATGTAGAAAAATGGCCCCCAAGGAGCAACTGAAGCATGTGTGTAGGTACTTGGAATTGACATATTCTGGAATAATCAGAAATTTATTTGGATAAATAGTGTGTAATATAGTCAGGGACTTCTCATAATTCTGAAGTCAATGAGGCCCTCGGTGGTTTTATTTCCCTCACTTTCAAGACAATGGGATTCACATAGACTGTGGATTTACTCATTAAATGCTGAATGTAAGAACTTGTCAATGTCATCTTATTTTGGGACAACTGAGCATGGTTCCTCTTGGTAAATAATATGAACATAAAATAAACATTGCCGGCTATCTTTGTTCCAGTCTTCTTTGTGAACAATTGCAAATTCAGCTGCTGCTGTATTGAAGCAGATTCTGCTCATAAAGTAGTGAAATACCTGGTCTGCAATATATCACTGTGGGATGCTGTAATGTCAGAGGCCTTTGCCAACACATTGGCAAAACTCCTATCCTGTGTGCTCCGGGAAAAGACCCAGAGCAGTGTGCATCCAGTTTATGGACCTTGGACTTTGAGAATTCTGGCTTTGATAATTGATAACTTTAAAAAAATATCCTAGGCAAGTAATACATACCTCTTCACCTGTGCAACGTAACTTTTAATCATGTAGCCACTATTCTAAATAGCTCCACTTTACTTTCTTTCATCTTCTTCTTTGGTGGTGGTAAAGATGATGGTGATGATAATAGTAGCTATGGCTACTGAGCTTCTATGATGAACTAGACACCACAGTTTACAGGTGAAGACATTAAGTACCAGAAGTAGAACCAGAATTTAGATAGATAGTCTCTGGAGATACCTACTACACAATGGGTGCACACCTGTGCCTATATGTTTTCAATCTTGGAATATTTCTATTGTACAACTCTGTCTCCCTTTTCCCCCCTCAGGATTAAAAAAGAAAAAAATTGTCTTTAGAGTTTTCATGATTCAGCAGATTGTCCTGCCACTGAGTGCATGAGAGTAGGGGAGAGTTGAAATAAGAACCAGTGTCAGGGAGGATGATTAAAACTGAAAATATGCAGAGCCACATGCCAGGCCCCTGGGGTGTGTGCGTGTGTGTGTGTGTGTCTGTGTGTGTGTGTGTGTATTTGTAATGTATGCATAGGCTAATATATAAACAGAGACTATTCTTCTCCTTACCTATCTTGTTCTTTGCTCTTAGAAAGTACATAGGTACTTGTTTTACCAAGCACTCTTCACCTGCGCAGGACACAAATACCAGATTTTTCTGCTACCTCAGTTTTTCAAATATTTGAGGTTCATTGAGGTCTTTACAATAAAGAAGATTCCTACTACCTCTCCTGGTCCAATACACCAGAGATTTGTTTAACCAAAACTAATTTGTCTAAGATAAATACAATTAAGTCTGTTTCCTTAATAGCATTTTGAATTACAATCATTTTTAGTGAACAATACTGATCATTTTTAGCACATTTCTTATATGATATGAGATATGGAAACATTTTACATATTCTTGCCCCTTAAAGTCACTTAAAGTGACTTTTTCTGTTTTTTCGTATTTATCAAGGATTCCAAGCTTCATTTCAAACTATATAATTTCTGGGATTCAGATGTCTAGACATGTCTTGTTGAGGAGAAATTATCAATGAATTTGCTTAAATCTTAAAGATATTTCATGGGAGAGAAATTACCCTGAAAAAAACAAAAAAATAAAAAAACAAGTAGCTTAATCCAGAGACAAAGCACTAGACATTGGAGGAAAAAATATGATTATCTTTTTCACATTGAAATCCAAATAATAAATTACTGCTTATTTAGTTATCACTATATGCAATTGTCTATAAAGGTCAATCAAACAAGTATGTATTGAGTAATAATGTGCTCAGTGTGTAATTCATGCTACAATTGATATATATATAAAACTTGATACCTGCTTCATTTGTTTTTCATTCTTGTATATTCATTCAGAGTAATGCCTGGTTTATGTTCATAATCAATAATTAATTGATAGATAAATTAGTCAATGAATGAATGAATGAGTATCCCAAATTTTTTAACTTTATAAGAAATAAGTTTTTATTTTTTCTTCACCATCATATAGCATTTAAGAATAATAAAGCTGCCTTGAGATTTCAAATTTAAGATATCTATGGCAAGTTTACAAAAGTACATTGATCACGATACACTTTTTAACATTAATATACACATTCCTAGTCTTAATATATTTAACATGAACACTGACCTTAGTCATTGTTATTTTTTTCTCCCTACAATATTGCCTGACTCTGTAGGATGGTGGTTCTCAGTTGGGGGTTGACTCTGTCCCCCCAGGGGCATGGCATCTGGCAACATCTGATATAATTGCGGTTGTCATGGGAGAGAGATGCTAAGAGCATCCAGTGTGCAGTCCAGGGATGCTGCTCGCCATCCTGTAATGCACAGGACGGACCCCCACTGCAAGGATTTTATCTAGCCCAAATGTCAATAGTGTCAAGGTTAAGCAATTCTTGTCGAGTGGGACTCAATGCCCATTTTATGAACACCTATGTGCCCACTGTAATCCTGAAAACGCAGACTTTGCTAGCTGGCAAATACCATTTAAAAGAAGATTTAACCTAATCAATATCACTTATCAAAAACAATGGCTGACTTTCAGTATCAACATATTTCCAGAATGAATAAACCATACAACCAACTCAGAATGATACAAATTAGGGTCCACATCATTTAATTTCCCTTGAACCTGCTCTGCTAGTTTAATCTGTTAATATGAAAGTCAATTAAGACTGTTTTGAAGGAGCTAAGCAATAGTTTCCTTTGCACATTTTTCTGAACTATGATAAAAATATAATGATACCATAAAGCACCTGGGCAAATAGCAAGTGCTCTGCAAGTGCTCCATAAATGTTTCTCACACTTACTAAAAACACAGAGCTTCACTCATTTGTTCAAATTTGCAATAAGCATGTGTCTGTACAGGTTAAATTAAGTTTTATTTGCTCTTTCTCATTTTACAATAATCTCTCACAAATGTCGTTTAGAAACAGTACACAGATCCAGGGTGTGTGATCCAAAATTGTAAGTTAGTTTTTTCCACTAACTAACTTAAGTTGTAAAGTATCAGTGTATATAATACGTTGATGATACTGAACTAACTTTAAACTAAAAAAGTCATTCTAAGTTTGTTAAGTAGAGAAATTTTTCAGTGATCATTTACCTACATATTCACATTCTGTATATTTTCTCATGGTCAACAAACTGATTCAAATGATTTAAGTTATCCCACCATTTAATGAGAAAAGTCTCTGCAATAATTTAAAACCATGGCATTATCTTAATTTCACCATTAGCTGCTTTTTTCCCAAAGTGCTTTTAGTTCTTCCTTTGACACCTAACAATAGCTTTTAATCTCCTTGGGATCTGGATTCAAAGTTACATTCTTCCTCAGAAACAAAATATAATCAATTTCGTGCTCACCCCAGATACTATCCTGCTGAGCTTTGTAGTGAATTCGTGTTAAATAATTAATTTCTTCTGGAGTAACCTCTGCCAAGGGAATTCCTAGCTCAGCTTTCAACCACCTCTGTGCTCCTTGCCTCACTCCAAGGGCACCATTTTCCTCTAGCTCACCGGATTACTTAATGGATGATTACAACAAGTATTAGTAAAACAACATGGAAAGGTAATCTTAGCATCTGATCTTTGCTGTAGCAGAAGCTTATTTTCAGTGTTGTTGAATAAGAAGACACTCAAAGCTCGATGCAATAATCCTTTCTCAATATTCTCATTCAAATGACAATTCTTCTTGGTCACAGCCCCAATTTTATTGTCATTTTCATTAATAAGGATACACATCTCTGCCAGGAGTTGAACCTGTTGCTCGTCGGGGTGGTCAGTGTTTATTTCAGGCATAATTACAAAATGTCTGATCTGTTCTGAGTGGCCTCTGGCCATGGACGCCTTATCCTGATGAATTTACAGCTTGGTTGTGGAGGCAACACAAATAACGTTAAGCAGCAGTCTTTTGAAAAGAAAGAATGAAATTTATTATTGAATTATGCATAGTGCGGTTGACTGAGTTAATACTTCGGTTCTATTTCTATTCTGCTTTTGACCTTGTCAGTGATCATGCATGTTACTAAAATAAGTGAAGTCTAACAGATTTCTGAGATTCTTTAAAGTTGTAACACATTTTTATTTGATAAAACTGAGTTCTGAAATAGCTAAAAGATCCTAATTAGAGGAGAGTAAAGATTCTAATGATAGAAAAAGCCTTCAATGAATAAATAATATTGATTGGGGCAGGATTTTGATTGGATGGAAGAAAGGGAAACTAGTATCAATTTCCTTCTTTGTAGCAGATGCTTATGCACATGTTATCTTTCAGTTTCACAATATCAAAAAAGAGGTAGCATACTGACATTTGTATAGATAAAGAAACCAGGGTAAGAAAAGAGACCAACATCGCCAGTTGAGAGTACAGAAATCAGGATTAGAGGCAGTACGGTCACATTTACTTTTAAAAATGGGCAAAAGACCTTAACAGACACCTCACCAAAGAAGATACACAGATTACAATAAGCATATGAAAAGATGCTTCACATCAAATGTCATCAAGGAAATGCAAACTGAAGCAACAATGAGATACCACTACATATCTATTAGAACAGCCAAAATCCAGAATACTGACAATGCCAAATGCTGGCAAGGATGTGGAACAACAGAAAATCTCATTTATTCCTGATGGGAATACAAAATGGTACACTCACTTTGAAATACAGTCTGATGGTTTCTTATAAAGCGAAACTACACTTACTGTACAATCTGTCATTCACACTTCTTGGTATTTATCCAAATGACTTGAAACTATATTCACACAAAACTTGCACATGGATGTTTATAGCAGCTTTATTATTAATAATTGCCAAAACTTGGAAGCAACAAGTTGTCCTTCGGTAGGTTAATAGATAAACTGTGGCACATCCAGACAATGGACTATTATTCACCCCTCCAAGAAAGGGAGGCATTAAGTCATAAAAAGACATAAGGAAACCATTAAATGCTAAGTGGAGGGAACAAGTCTGAAAAGGCTACATACTGTATGATTCCACTGTGTGGAAAAGGTAAAACTTCTAAAAAAGGTAAAACTATAGAAACAGTAAAAAGATCATGGTTGCCAGGGACTGGAGAGAGGGTTGAATAGGTAACACACAGAAGAATTTTAGGGAAATGAAATTACTCCGTATGATACTATCATGATGAATACACATCAATATATGTCTGTCCAGACCCATAGTATCTACAACACCAAGAGTGGACTCTCATGTAAACTCTAAAACCTGGTTAATAATTTATCAATATAAGTCATCATTTAACACGTATACTACTCTGGTGAGGAATGGCGTCTGTGTAGGGAGAAGGAGCACATGGGAAGTCTCTACCTTCCTCTTAATTTCTTAGAAACCTAAAACTGCTTTAAAGAGATAAAGTCACAACAATAACAACAACAACAAAAACCCAAGATATTCTCAGAGAGATAAATGCGACTAATGATAAAAAGAAACAGTAACAAGAATTCATGAAGAAGAACTCTTAGAAGATAATGGATGTAAAACCTGTATTTATCACCATAATTCAGTGGATAAATTGAATCACAGAATTAATACAGCTGAAATGTGATGCAGCAAATGGGAATATCTTGTTAGGGGACTCTCCTGGAAGACAAGAGTAAAACAGAAAGACTTGGAAAAATGAGAGAAAAGTTAAAAGATATGGAGAGTGAAATTAATGTGTCAGTATCTGCCTTAAAAAGCCACAGATGAAGAAAAAGTAGATGAAAGGAGAGAAATAATGCCTTAACATTTCTGTATATCACAAAAAGGTTTAAGAGCTTATTGAAAGGGCTCATTAAGAGCCACCAAGCAAACCCAAATGTAAGCATATGGTAGTGAGACATTGGAGGAAGCACCTGTGGAAGACAATTTGGTGGGCTAAACATGTCTTTTCCTCCCTCTTGTTGACAGTAAATTATATACATTATAGAATTTGGCAAAGCAAATACTCATTTTACTAACTTCTCTTGCAGCTAGAGGGGGAAATACAAGGGACCCCTAGCTAATGGGATATAAGCATATTCCTGCTGTGGAGCTTCTTGGAAAGTTTCAACCATAAAATGGTAAAAGGGGAAGAATCGAACGTGGAAGTGATGGCAAGAGGCATGGATGCCACTTTGCAGCAAACAGGAAGCAAAAAGAGAATAGCATAAATGCTGACCCTGATATTGTTAAACTGATGAGCTATTGCCAGCAGCCTCTTAATCAAGGCATCTTTTTAGATGAGAAAAATAAATGGAAGTCATTATTAATTGGTTTTATGGTACCTCCACGCAGACCATTCTAAACTAACTTGGTAATCCAGCAAGAAAAGAGGTGAAGACAGAAGGTAGGAACATATAATTTGGTAAGGTTTATTTTCTAAATAAGAAATGACTGCTACACAAGTAAAGAACAATCCACACATAAAATTACTGAATGGTACTAACCTGAGAGAGATGAATGGTGGGAGGGAGACGGAAAATATCAGAGGCAAATTGAAATGAGAAAAAATAAAAGAGTAAGTAGTAAATATAAAATAAAATGCAGATATATGTATGTAGATATTAGTGTTATAATAAATGTTTAACTCAAGATTATCTCAAAAATTGAGAGAACTCTGAGTATGATTAAAAACAGCAATGTTTATCTAAAAGTGATATTTAAAACAATGGAATATAAGTAGAGTAATAATGAAAACATGAAAACATGGCTTAAGATATAGTAGGTAAATGCAACCTTTTCCCCCAAACAATCAGATTAATGGTTCTAATATCGAATTTAAGGGGAAAAAAATATAAAGGGCAATGACAGCACTTAGAAATAGTATGCATAATAATCATGAACATTTACATACCTAATACCATGTAATAACCATAGAGCAGATAACAGTAGATAAAGAGTAGCTCTATGGGGAAAAATAGATAAATCAACAGTTCTAATTGGGGCATTTAACCCATAAACCTCAGAAACTATTAAATCAAGTAGATCAAAAATATACATAATTATTGAGCTTAAATGAATAGGTACATAGAAGTTTTTAGACTCAAACAGAATAATATAGACATTCTTTTTACGAACAAAGAACAGTTACACCAATGGACCAGATACTGGCCACAAAGGAAGGCCTCGGTATAACCTAATTCTTTAGTACCATGTAGACTTATATTAAAATGCAATACAATTAGAAATAAATCCAAGAAAAAACTAAAACCATCCCATATGGCTAAATACAAAGTAGCATTTTGCTAATTGGCTTTTATTTAAAAATCATTAGAGAAATTACAGAATTCTTAGAGCTAATGTACGTACTATTTGACTATAGGCCAATATTTGCAGGATGAATCTCCAGTTTTACTTTAAGAGATGTGTATAGATTTAAACACAGCACAAAACAAGCAGAACAAAAAATAAATAGGATTAATATTCAAATCATGAAGGTATAAAAAAGTTCATCAGAGTAAAGCCAAATATATAAGGACAGAAATAATAATTACATAGGTACAAATTTTTAAAATAGAGAAAACACAAATCCAGTAAAGAGACTTAACCAAAAACTCAGTTCTTAGAATATAAGATATGCAGCTTCTAGCACACCTGATCAAGAGAAAAAAACAGAAGATGTAAATACTACAAAATGCGTATAGAAAGAGGATTTAGCACAGGTTTAACGAAGAGTGAGAATCATAAGGTTATAATCACTAACTTTCCCTTAAATAGCTTGAAAATCTTGAGGGATTTATTTATGAAAGCATACATTTTGCATGAAAATAATGACAATACTTGAATATTCTAACTACTACTAAAGAAAATTTAAATGTTTGCTAAAAATCTGCTTCCTCATTTATCTTCTTTTCCACAAAAAGATAATGGATCAGCAGCTTAAAAGGGAATATTGTGAAATTTTCAAGACGCAGAAACTTCCTATCATAAATAAATTAATCCAAAGCACAAAGTAGAAAAGGAAAACTGGACAACTCATGGTGAAACTGGTATAAGTTTTGACCTCTTTTCCTACTGCCTCTAGGTAGGGCCCACCTTCCTGAGTCATAAAAAAAAAGCAGAAGGAACAGCCTAAGCTTCAGGTTGTCTGGATTTCTTGCATCACAACTCGCTTCACAGACTCTTTTTTCTTTTCCATGCAGGGAGGCCAATTAGTTGGTGGAACAGCTAAGGCAACACTATGCAATTACCTGGTTAATATCCTTCACTGACTGATTAGAGTCAGTGGAGGGATCAACTATCATGTAGGATAATACTTAAGGTGCTTTAAAATATGTCAGGTAATATTTAAATTTTTATATAAAATTTAAAATAAACCTGTTTTCGTTATTCTCTCTTTTTATTCTATCAAGTTTTTCTTTAAGAACCTGCTTTGAAATGCTCCAACAACCTTGGGAACATATTAGGCCAATACTTCCAAGTCTTCCTATTATCAGGTCACTGTAACATGGGAATAAGTTAGGGAGCCTAGGCTCCCTTTGTGCCTGAGCAGTCCTTTCTTTGAGATACATTTTATAATAGTTTTCTTTCAAGAGTGTAGAAGCATTGTATTATTACTATAATTATTGTTATTTAAATTGAAATTGTATAAAAGCTAGATTTTCTCTCTCTTTTTTGTAATAAGAGTTGCCATGTTAAGCTAACCTGTTCTTCACCGTCCTCTAATTTGATTCTGTTTCTCAGAAAAGCTTTTTTAGGTAGATTTTTTTTTTATATCTGTCTACCTGTTTTAAAACAGCAATGAGACAATAGTTATATTTTACTTCATCCTTCACTAACCCTGGTCTTTAAACCAGAAAATGTAGTTCAAGTATACAGAAATATAGGCTGATTTCA